TTTTACTATTTTTATTTTTTAAGGTGCACTACAACGTTTTACAAACTAGTTGGTAATTAATAACATGCAATGTTTCTAACAATTACTGTATTATTTTAGTTAAATAATATTTTGATAGTGCACCATAATGTTATGTACGTACCAAATTATTACCAAAATGTATGTTTTGTTTAGCTTTAACTAGATCAAATGGAAACTGGTCACTTAGAACTTATTCAGTATAATTAAATCATTATTTAATTTTCATGTACGTATTTTATTATGATTATTTATTAACACGTTCAAATCTGATGTAATTTTACAGCCCTTTTGTCAGAGCACAAAAACTTTATGAACATTTCGCCAAAAGATAACTAGATTAGTGATGGGTCAAACAAAATTGTTTGGTCTCGAACCGAACATTGTCGAAGTATTGCGAACCCAAATCGAACTGAACTATTAAAATTGTTTATCGAACTAAAATTCGAACTCAGTTTATATCGTACCTGATAATGATAATATTAAAATAATAATTAATAGGTAGTCTAATACTATTATTATGATACTTATATTTTAATTATTATAAAGAAAATTAATATTGGGTATTGTTCAATTAAGAATATATTCAAGTTCAAATTTTGAATAGTTAAGAGTTGTTCAATCAAGTTCGGTTCGTAATTTTTCCATTCCGAGTTYGAATTTTGAATTGAACCGAATATTAAGGGTTCCGTTAAAGATTCGGGTGGGGCCTAGTTCACAMAAAATCGACTTTCCCGTTTCTCACAGATTTTGATATCGGAAGATWGTTTGTGATCGCGACAACTCTGTGTCTAGTAATAATAGTTTATTATAATAAGTATTGTGTTTTATATTCTCGTTGATTTTCGTGGACAATAATAAATGGAAATTTGTATTATAATTAAAATTACAAGGTATGAGTTCGTAAAAAGCATCTGTGGAAATTAAAAAAAATAATAATTTGTATTTTGTGACGACTTTTTATAAGCTATTTATAGTATGATAATATATTATTATATTATATTTATATGATAATTATATTTATACTATGTATTTTTTTAAACTTTTGTTATAACAAAAAAAAATTTATATTATTTAATAAATATTGCTAACTTAATTTTAAAACGACTGAAATGACTTTGGTCAAAACGGATATCYAGGCGAAATGGAAAAGGTCGATTTTGGGCGAAAGGGGCCACGCCCCGAGATTCGAACAGTTCGACGTACCGTACAAAATGCATATTTAGTTAGACATTTTATGCATTAAATATTTAACTATACCTGCGTACATATGGCTCTTTAATACATTCACCATTTATCTGATCAAACGTGTGGAGATGTTTCTTAACACTTAGAGCTGAAACATAGCACATTGTGGGCAGTGGCATAAACATAAAACAATTATTTTGATCTAAATACATACTTTGAACAAAAGTAATAGCTTTTTCAATCAAGTATAAGTATAATACGTCGGAATGGGACAGTTGAACACCGCCAAATGGGCACGGTTAACTCGGCGAGGCCGACTGGGCGCGGGATCAAGTGGGCACGAGTAAAGTGGACGATGGATAGCTGGGCGCTAAATAGTTAATGTATATTAATTAATTAATTATATATATTTATTATACGCTTTACAATGTCGTTTTTTTTCACATCGCCAAAACTCAGTTTTTTCGTCTGCAGATAGTTTATCAAATACG